GCAGGTGGCTGAATTTTACGGAGACTTGCCACGGTCTCCAACCCTCCTCCTTTCTCATCCGGGCTTAGGATCGGCAACGACGGAGTTGACTATGTGCCATGGTTGCAATTTAGTATTCAACAGTTTGTTGTGAAAGTCGATGAAGGCATGCTCAGAATAATAGAAATGTTTGTGAGTTAATTAATAAAGGCTGTATGTGGCATCTTCTAAAACGTACAAAGCAAAGTGTATATCTGTGCGTAATTCCAATGGCGGCGTTCCAGTTTAGCGTCTACTTCAACATGCACATTAAAATCACCCATTCTTATGCGGGACTGTTTGTTCGTCATTTCGGACAGAGCACACTGCACTTCCTCGAAGAATGTGCCATATTTTCCCTCCACATTGTGCTCATAGGCTTGTAACAATGTCAATGCTTTAGCCTGTTGTAGCTTCAGTCGGACGATTGCCATCCTTCCGCTGACAGGCTTCCAATGAATAGTCCTATCCGCGATGTTGGATTCTGCCATATCAGCAACACTGATCTAAGCGCGAGTCGTGATATGAACACATGAGTAGAATAACTTCCAGCGGCAGAGGTTCAGGATATCAGAGTCTTGGCGCTTCGCTGACGAGAGTCCAACTATAGCGAGTTGGCTGTTTTGGGTCTCGTCATCTGGCTCTTGCTGTTTCCCTCTGAGTGTGGATATATTCCAATTTCCTGCTGTAAGCTCCCACTGGCGGTGACGTTCTCGTGGGGTCTTTTCTGTCGTGCTATAATGGCATCTCGCTATATGCCTTCTGTGTTCCGAACAGGTAGCAACTTCGTTTTTGACTGATATCTTCGTCGTTGTTCAGTCCTTCTTTGTTCAGCCGGTATTGTGGTTCTTCGCCCACTCTGACAGAAGGGGATAAGTAGGCTGTGATCGCAGATTTTTGGCAATCTCCCACCGTTCCCCAACAGCCTGCGCTACCCTTTGTAATCTTGGCGACGACAGAGCCGGTATAATTTTAGATGCCGTCAATACCGTGAGTCGCCGGTGCATAAATATTATATAGGCTTCGCCTCAGTTTCTACCTCTCCTTCTTTCTCAACTGGGTTGTGTCCGACAGCTGCGGAGTTGCGCAGTTTCATCGAGTAACTTAACTTAGAACGATGGATAAAGTTGCAGCATGGTATGACAGATCAATGCTAATGGTTGTGTTACGACATTATTTTAATGCTACTGCAAAGTAGGATGTATACTTACTATCAACACACAGTGACCCATTTAGAAGATAATGTTCAATGATTTTTAAAAAAAAGTTTGATACTACAACTCAAGAAGCAGCGCTATATATTTAATATTTTGCTAGAGCCAGCTCATGAGCTTAAGAGTCGCTACATGGAACTGTTTCCCTTGAGGAACTAAGTATTTGCATTCGACTAAATTGATTTGCAGGTTTGATCGACAGTAATGATTACTGCTTTCAAATATTTCATGACCGTAATTGACGTGGTGATTCCCGATCAGTGTTGTGGCGGTTACTTCTTTGTTACGATTATGTGTGGTAAGTTTTTGACCGTTTTCGCGAGTTTTTATGTGTAATATTATAAATTTTCTCAGGGATATTTGCATACTTGAATTACCTATGTTCTCGTACACGGCAGGAAATAATCGACATCTTAATCAAAGGTTTACAACGTCTCGAGTATAGAGGATATGACAGCGCCGGTAAGGGTGGGGTTTATCTTTCGATTTGAGTTTTAGCCTTGAAATTGGACAGTTTTGCGACTGAGTGTCTATCTTAAGGTTTGGCTATCGATGGCGATGTTGGAAGTCAAGGCGATCAGTACGTCGAGATTCTGTTGTTGAAGAAATCCGGGAAGGTCAAGGCGCTGGAGGATGAAATTTATGGTAAGATTGGTAAAGTGGCACAAGTCACTTATCATGTTCATGGTCTTATTTTTTTAAAGGTAATGACAGCCTTCGGATGGATCAGGTGTTCGAAACACATGCCGGCATCGCCCACACGCGATGGGCTACTCACGGCAGCCCTAACTGGGTTAACGCCCATCCGCAAACGTCCGATCCCGAGAACTGTATGAAGTCGTTAGTTTGTCGTTATATTCTTTTCTTTACTTTTACTCTTCATTCTTTACCTTCGATACTGAAATCAAAAGTTGCCGCCCTTCAGCACTGTTTAAAATTAGAAATGAAAGCCGTGGTTAGTTTTTGTTTCGAGCAATTAAGTTTACTTAAACATTTGATTGCTTTGTACAATTAGTGTTCTCTCCGCAGTGCTATACCCAGATTTATGTTCAGATTTGCACCGTTATCTAATCCATGGCTGATAAGACGCAGCAGTGAAAAGAGTTTATTGCAATTTGCATGGGAATCATCTGATTGGCTCAAGGTTATTAGTAATCTGTAGCATGTGCGAGCGTCATGCATTAAATATTTTTGCACCCAGAAATGATGTTTCTTAGCTTGACTACATGAATGAAACTTTTTCTCATTAGGAGTATCAGTTTTGCAGCACAGGTTTCTGTCTTTGTCTTTGAGTTTTTGATTTTTTTGGATAAAATGAAAAATACTTTTATTTTTTAAAGCTATCCTGCTGATGCTGAATGTCCTTTGTCACTACTTCATTCGAATTTGCTTATTTTCTTTTCCGATTAAATGACAGATACCATTAAGTTGTTTACTTAGTTATGATGATCTGATATGCATTAATACTGTCTTTATCAGCAAAGACAGTGAATAATAAAGGAAAGCTATTTATGCTTGGTCAAACTAAATGCTGAAATTAGTAGGTCGTAGATGCAGAGTAAAAAGTTTTTTTCAGCATGAGCGAAATTTTGTTCAAATAATTGTTGAGATGACATTTTGTTTGTCCATTTAGAAATTTTAGGAGCTGTTACATAACGGTTCAAGTACGTACAGTGACAGCTTACAGTGGTGCACGTTGCTTAGTGTAAACTAAATTCGCTGTAACATGTTTGCTGCTAGATTCAGTCAGTGGGTTGCCTTACCTCTTGCTATTACCTATTATTTCAGTGACGCTATTCTTCATTTTAAAGTCGCAGCTTTACTCTCTTTCCCCTGAGTGTTGAAAAATCACAATTCTTCTTCTGTGCTCGATGCCCAAGACACTATGTGACGTTTATAGATTACTTTCTCGTTCTGCGGTGTCGACAAATTCACATTATGTGATTCACATTTTGCTACTTAAATGATGCCATAGGCAGGAAAACGCGAACATCTTTGAAACGGTTGTAACAGCAAGCAAAGCAGAAAATTTATAATAATGATATTTGTTGAAAAACAGTATAAATGTTTGGAATGATATTTCACTCTTTATTAGCGGAGTATGAAGAAACCTGAGGATAATCCTCGTACTGGGCCCAAAGAAGCAACAGTGAAATGCTGTATGAGGCTTTCAAGTCCAAGTCCTTTATTAAAATTTTTGACTGCTTCTTGCAAATCTTCTTACAACACCTATAAGAATCTATTGAGCTACCTTTGTATAGAAATATTCTTCAGTTCAGAATTCAGCTTAGCTAGTTCACCGTAGCTACTTAAGACAAGAAGACGCTAACAAGGTACAGCTTGTAACAGATTAAATCGGTTAAAAAAAGTTTTTTATATTGAGCAAGGCCAAACTGCTCCGCTGATGAATCTGAGAATTCTCGCCGAAAACAGCACATATGTTTATTAATGACCGAGCAGCGAAAGAACTGTCCTCGCACGGATGGTAGTAAAACGAGAATTCAACAACACCTTGGAACATGAGCTTTTAGATTACTGACGTTTCTTTAAATACCGTTTGCTTCGTTGATCATTGTTATGTGTGCGTGTTTGTTCGTACTTCTTTGTCCCAAGTTACTTACAGTACCCTGATTTAAGGCAAACTGGTTTTTTGTCTTCCCTTCTACTGCACAGTTTTGTCATAATTCGTTTCGTTCAAAAAGTAAGAAATTATTGCTGTTTTTTTCATTTTATGGTTGTTAATAAATGTACAACTCTACCTAACTGAGTTTCACGATGGGTTGGCATATCGCCATGATTTACGGAATGTTGAGCAAATCAATTCCGACTTTTAACTCCCACTGGCGGTGTCGTTCTCGTGGAGCCATTTCTGACGTGTTTTAATGGCATCGCGCTGTCTGCCTCTTCCGTTCAGAACGGGTAGCGACTCCGTTGCTGACTGGTATCTTTGTCGTCGTTTCGTCGGTCTTCGTCAGCCGTCGTTGTGCCTCTACGCCCCCCGGCTGGCAGAGAGCGATGTGCAGGTTCTGATCGCCGACTTTTCGCAGTCTGCCTCAGTCCCCCAACAGCCTGCGCGGCTTTGGTAACCCGGGCGTCGACCGAGCCGGTATAATTTTCGATGGTGTCAGTACCATGAGTGGCAGATTGCAGAATTTTACGGAGACTTGCCACGGTCTCCTATCCTCCTCTTTTCTCATCCGGACTTGGGACCGGCAACGGCAGAGTTATTCCAAAAGACCTTGTTTTATTAGCATCTTCTGAAACTGATCTTCAGTGCTTCCTAGAAAGGTATGCAGCTGAGTGCGACGTGACCGGCATGCATGCGAACGCATCTGAAATGAAAAGCCTAATGCTACCTCGTTCATTTGCCCGTTGCTCTCTTCAGATTAACGGAAAGGCAATGGAGCAGTTAGACAAGTTCAAGTATCTCGGAATTGCATTTACTAGTGATGCAAAATTGGAGGAAGAGATCGACCGGCGAATTGGAGTAGCCAGTAAAGTTCTGCGTGAACTAGCCCGAACCGTTGTGACGAAAGCAGAGCTCAGTCTGAAAACTATGCTCTCAATAT